TGCTGAACAGGAAAGGCTGCTGCTAACTGTGCAGACGACAACTTAATTAAAACACAGTGACAGCATTTCTTCAACTTTTAGGAAAAAATGCTTTAAAGAATTACTGTTGATACTAAGAAAATGTAGAAAAGGAGAAAGGAGATTTGTACCCACAGGGCACAATTCCCTTTCCACCTCTAGTGGGAACAATCTTCTCGTACACGCTCGGTAGATCCTGCTTGCTTGGGTCGATTTAGAACAGGATCCTGCTTATGGATCAGGTACTAGCTGGTGCTGATTGCTAGATGGAAACTTTTTGCTTATCAGCTGAAGTGAACTAATTCCATCTGAGAAAGCTTTTCTAAAAGCAGTTTCCTTCCAAGGTGTCACCTACAATTAGGGTGTTTTTTTTTCAAGATTTTATTTACCTATCTTTGTTTTGCACTCTCTTTTTTGCTCTGCCAGGAGCTTTTTAGCCACTAGAGGAGTACACTTATGGGACTAACAGCTTGCGGTAATGATTGTAATTTGTCAATGAATTATAATCACACTTGTCTGCAACAAACGACTCAGTAAAGAGCAGTGAAGAAGTTTATTTCCCCCTGAATTTGGGAGGCTCATGCGAGAGCAAAGACCAGTGGTTCTAACTTGATTCCTAGGTGTTTTGGAACAAAAGAAGGAAAAAATCTCAAGTTACAAATATTATCAGATTCTTCTTAAAGCCAAGACTGTGCTTCCTGTATCTTTAGTTTTGAAGAAGATAGAACAAAGTCATCCTCCAATTAGAGTTCAAATATAGCATCATCATAAAGGCTGTAGGAACCTCCTAGGGTTTTTCAAGCTTTTTCATTTCTTTTGTCACCTTGTTCTCTCATGGATCGGGAGCTGCTGGCTATAAAATCCATCTGGATGACAGAGGGAAGGGCTAACCTCTCCTTCCTTTCCTCTAGCTCTTTTTGTGCCCCTCAAGAAATACCTCTAAATATTGTAGAAAATTCTCTCCCCAGTCCTACTTTATTTATTTTGAAAATATTTTGAGCGTCTCTACAATAGCAAAGCAAAGTCAAAATCTCTCTTTCTGTTTTTTCAATCCATCCTTTGCAGTTTTCCTGGCTGAGTCAGGAGCTTCTGAAGTCCCTAACGACCATCTCCCTCCGGAGCAGGAGCGGCTCAGTGGTGCTCTGACTCGTAACGCTGAAACAGGGGACTTGCTCAGCGGCAGCAGGAGCAGCTCAGATCAGAAATCTTCCCTTCTCGAGCCCACACATCGTCATACTGGCTCCAAAACAAAATGTACTGGCTAGGGGTTTTCATACCTCTTTCTTTCATTTATCTGCAATACTGCTTTCACAGATGAAAGGATTTAAAAAAAAAACCTGTTTTAAAAGCTAGTACCCAGTTAAGCTGAAATAAGAGCTGAAATAAGTCTTCACCTGTGGGAAAGGATGGTCTAATTGCAAGAGTAGAGGTTGGGCAGCTGGAAATTTATTGGCTTCCTGCTAACCTTGGAGTTAATCTCTCTCTGCTGTAATTACTGTCCCTGTAGGATGATAAATGCAATATGTGCTTCACACATGTATCCACTGTTACAGCAATGCAGAGCCTAGCCTCTGGAGTCCTATATACGTGGCAATTATTCTAATGTTAAATGTATTTAGCTTTTTGCTCAGACTTTGAGATCTAGGTGACTGGTTTCTCCACTGTGGGTTTGCTGCGGCAGAAGCAGCAGCGTTTCACAAGTGCTTGGACTGCATCCTTTAAGGAAAGCAGGGTCAGGGATAACCGCGTGCCTGATCCGGCCGAAGCAAAATAACGGAGTGAGGCCAGGCTGGCTGGAGTTTCTCAGCCCCCCTGACCTCGGCCGTACGGCGGCACACGGCAGCAGCGCGGCTCGGCCGTTCCCACCGGCCGCAGCCCGGGAAACCTCTCCCCGCGGTGAAGCAGCTCTGCTCCCTGAAGGCTGGCCTGGGGTGAACAATTTCTGTGCCCTTTGCTGAAGGAAACAACACCACGGCACGCTGGCTGAGAAACGGGCAGGCTCCGTAAGGGGCTGCCGGGGCTCCAGGGGGGGTCAGCTCTCTGCAGGCAGGGAGCACACTTCCTCAGCACTCGAGGGAGTGGAACAGGGTGGAAACAGGGGAACCTGAGGCCGCGTCTGTGTTTTGAAGGTTGTATCGCTCATGCCAATTCCAAGCGCTCAGAAACCTCTAGTCGGATCCCCAAATCATTAGACTAAAGAAACTAATGCTTTTGAGGTTTTATTTTTTGGTTTCCTGGGCTTTTGGGGCATGCAAAAGGCTAAACTTTTTCCTCTGCCTGCAAGAGCAAGCAGATTTTCTTTCTTTCCTTGTCTCTCCTTGTAGCAGCCTTGATTCCTTCTGGAGCAATTTGAAAAAAAAGCCAGCAGAAGATTGTTAGCTGATGCTAACAGGGATTCAGAAAATTGTGAATGGTGTCTTCACAACAACTGAATATCTCAGTAGAATGAGGTGGCTAGTAAGGTGGTGGGACTTGATAGCATGGGTCCTGCTTAAGAGTATTAGTGGATCACGCAAGCTGAGTCCTGTACACCTCAGTCATGGACAAATTTCCAATAACTTACACAGTGATTTGCTTCTTGTTTGGTTTCTCTTGCACCATAGCTTCTCCCTGAAGAGCCTTTACTCTTCATCTTTAGAAAGACAGTAATATGTAGATAATATAGATGCAAAAAATCCTGCATTGATTTTCATCTATATTTGGTGCCAATCTAGAATTTAACTTTTTTTTGCAGTTTATATAATTTATGTTATAATAATACAAATCTATTGTATTTTGTCTGTAACTTGTATTTTCTTAACAAGATCTTGCCTTTTACTGTTTGTTTTTAAAGTTAGATCAAAACCTATGCTAGGTTTAACAGAAATGCTATTGAAGCTGAGCATTACCTTAGTGTAAGAGGCTACAGTACATTTCCTTATTAATTAAAAAGTCATCCGATATGCTGCGTGTGTTACCTTCCCAGGGTAACATCCAGTTGCCTCCGTTTCATGGCAGTCTAATTTCCCTTGCCGCGTTTGTTCCTGTGTGTTGCTTGTAGCTATGGCAACGTCCAAGCTGGCCCTTGTTAGGGATGTATCAGCTTATTCCTCTAGTACTTATCATTTTTAAGGACGTTAGCAAAGTCTGTAGCGCTAGCCTAGCACGTGGATTTTTCCATGTGATAATGAGCCTGCTTGGTTTAAAATTGACTCATTCCGAAATGAAGGGTCGAGTAAGACAATGAAATCGCAATGAAATAAAAGTGCTAATAAATTAGGGGGCAAAGCCGAGGTTCATGTCACTCATGAGACTTCAAAAATCTTTAATTTAGTAAATTGAATACTTTCCTGAGCTAAATTATAGAGAGGAACTGGACATGTTACTTGGGGGGGTCTCAGAAAGAGATACCTGAATCAGTGCCTATAATTTTTTTTTTCAGATGCAGCAGACCATGAAGCCATTCAAGAGAAAAAAAATCTAAAAGGAGAACTCAGTATTTTGGCAACGACCTAGGCTTCCCCGAATTGTGAGTTGATTACCGTCGTGATTTCCTCACGAGGTATGTTGCAAGCTTTTCAACTACGAAATAGGATCTATCAGAACTTGCTACCGTATGAAGTTAAAACCTGTTGTGGCTGGGGTGGGAACCTCCCCTTGTTTTGCTGGGCACCAAAGATGGTCTGTGGTCCACAACACAAACCTAGGTGGTGTCTGAGAGGGAAGTGGCGAACTTTGGCAGGGCAAAACAAAAAGCGTGAACCACGGAAATGCTCCAGCAACATCCTGGAAGAGGACAGATCAGTAGGTAACACCAAGTGGTGTTTTGGGGGCACTCTGAAGTGCTGAGCACCTTTCGTTGCTGTTGACATCAGTGGGATATGAAGTTATTAGGCTGGCAACTTACAGAGCCAAGTTAGTGGGAATTTTATCTAAGAAAGGCTTTAAGTATTAAGCCCAAAGGGCAGAATGTGATTCACCTTATAGAAAAACAAACAAACCCGAGCAACTTCAGTGGGAAACAACTCCTGTGAGGAATTGTTATGTCTAACGGAAATGAGAAGTTCACAGGCTGAGCCGATGCTTGTTGATTGGTTGCAATATAACAGATATTTTCTTTCCTTAAAATCGAGCATAGTGGGAGACTGTGAGAGAATACTGCTCGGGCTGTGCAGCAGCTGTGAACTTCCTCTTGCGAGGCTGCAAGACCCAGCAAAGTCAATAGAGACTCCAAAGCGCCCAGCGGGAGCCCGCGGATCGACCGCAGCATGCGCAGGGCAGAGCCCAGCAAAAGCTGAAGGTAGCCAGCCTCTGCATCAATCATTACATGCTACTTTAGAAATAATTGACCTCATGATTTAGCAGGCTGCTTTTTAGCTAAAGTTCAACAGCTCACCACATCAAGAATCTGATCCCTGCAGGATTTCTGGAAGCTGCTGCTCAAAAAGTAGTGTAGCATCCTCAGTTTTCAACGTGTTCCCTGTCCCGAATCATTTTGCAACTGCTTTTTCTCCTTTTCGGAACAAAAAGAGATAGTTCTTGCTTTACTGTGATTCTCATGCCACACAGGAGATCAGAACAAAGTTCTTTTGCCCTCACAGCCTCATACTTGCATCCTGGCATTGTTCATCATCCAGGTTGATAGTGACTTTGTGCCATCTACTTTTTAGGTTATCTTCTGCAGTAGTCTTCATAGAGTGTTAGCTTGATATTTAAAAGAGGACTTTGTAAGAGACTGAAAAGTTGATGGGAATTTGTTTGGTTTTATCTTGTTAGTTCTTAGGTTGAGTTTTATTTTAGACAGGTTGGTTTGTTCAGCATCAAGTCGCAAAGTTTAATTATCAAGACTTCTTAATCCCAGATAACTGATTTTTTTTTTCTTGGCTTGTGCTCATAGCTAATTCTAATGCTGAGATTATATCCACAGCAATTAACCCTGCACACAGTTTTTCATTTTAAGCTGTTCTTTACAAACACGAAGGATTTTGGATGAACCTATTCTAGGTTTCGGCTCCTGCCCAAGTATGATCTACCAGGCAATGAATTCTTGGGCAGCAAACTCTCCAGAATAGGTGTACCTATCTCTGCTGGAGAATGAACAGCTTTTAGATATCTGACTAAAACGTGGCTCGACGCTTAGGGACAAGATATGAGGGAAGGGCACGGGGCCCGGCTGTAGGCATCCTTGAAATGCACCTTGAGCCAGCCCCGGATCCGCAGGGGACAGAGCTGACGTTAACCCTTAGGGATGTGCAGGAGAGGAAGTCTGTTTTGGGGGAGAAGGAAGGGACTATTTCTGGCAGCTTTCCCTTAGAGGGAGATATCTGGGAGCTACTCAGAGCTTTGCGATGTTAGAAGCCGTCCAGCTGACCCAGCTTCACAAATGTATGAGGTGTTACTACTATTTCAGTGCTTAGAAGTATGTGAGGTATCTCACGAAAGACAGATGCAGGCCTGTCCCACAAAAAAACCACGTGGTTGTGATTTGATATGATGCAATAAGTACGTTTATCAACAGAGATGTCAGAAAAAAGCTATAGGGAACATGGATAACTGATATGAATGTGTGGTGCTGAGGAGCATACGTGCATGTGGGTGGGCGTTTTGCTTTGACTTTTAGTATTATTTAGACTCTCCTAAAAATCTTCTATTTCCTATCTCCCTCTCCCCCTACCCCTACTGGCAAGCAAGGGGTTTTTTAGAGGGTTTTGAGGGAGATGCTTTGGCAGCCTGGTTTTTGAAGGACACTGAAGTTGTAAACTGAGATAACATGAGGGAGAGCAAGTGAGAGGGACGTGGGACACTGATGGAGAAGATAGGGGAAGCCTTAACTTAGAAGGTAAAACCTGAAATGTAAGCAAGGACTACATGCTTTACAATTTCCAAAGCAATGGCTTTCAACTTCCAATTTCAGTTTACCGTTGAAGGACTTGATACGAGAATTGTCTGTGATCTTCTGCCAGCGCTACACAGAGAGTGGGAAGCAAAGCCCATGGGGCAGAGGGAGCCAGAGAAATCGTGTGGAGGCAGAGGGAGGTGGCCAAGGAGAGGCATGGCTTTCCGCACGGCTGGCCTGAGTGGCTTGGCCAGGTGGGGGTCAGGAAAGTGCAGAAGAAGGGACAGAGAGATGAGGACATGGGTGGGCAATGTGGAGATGAACACTATTGCTGTTCCCTTAAGTGGATGATTTATGTGAGCAACCACCACACACCATGAACTATATTTACAAATAATATACAATTACATGGCCTTCAGGAACTCTTCTACCATTTCAGTTTCAGAATGGATTAGTACTCCATTAATACTTGGACAGTCAGATGCTTATGAAAGAGTCAGGAAATCTTGTGAATATGGCTAATTCAAAATTCTTTAGTCATGTAATTCAAAGGAATATTAATTAATCTATTTTATGTTTCTAGAAATATTTTTCTCTGTATTTCCCATCTGGAGTAGAAATATTTTTTTCCCCAAAAATGCTTCATTTCAAGACCTTGTTGAGAAAACGTAGAATCTCTCGTATCTGTGCAGAATTCCCCACTTCCTGTCAGTTCTTGTATTTGAGTGAAATACTAGCCTATGCTAGTATGAAGAGCAAAAAGACCACACAAGACCACATGTTGTTTACTTTATACTGATTATTCACATGTTACTAGCAGCCAAGAGAGGAGACGGTTTTCCCCTAAGCTCTGAAAGCATAATAGCATCAAACTAATAGTTGTCGTTGTTTTAACAAAATATATTCAAGAAGAGATTGTATCTCCCCACTGAGATAAAAATGCCTACACTTGAAAAATATGTCCCTTCTGGTTTCTTTTATCATTGGCAAGTAAGCCACCCCAGCTTAGAGTAGGCAGCTAAGTTTTACTAAGCTGCTTTTCTTCTATGCCACTTTTTAATACATTTGGGAACTTCATTTTGATTCCTTTGATGGATGTAAGCTTGTTGTATTATCAAAGCTCACTCTTTCTCTTTGCTTTCTTTTCAGCACATGATAAGGTGACAGTTTTCCATGCGACAGCATGCCTGTGGACTACCTGGCGACCACTGCAGTGTTTCCCAAAGGGTTGCATGCTTTCTAGCTGCTCAGTTTGATGCCAGGTGCACCACAGTGTCCACCTCCTCTGCAGAGTGGGAAGTCGCTGCGCTGCCAAGGCAAATGTCAGGAGGTCTTGTCCTGCTGGGCTTCTCCTCAGAGGACTTTCCAAGGTCTGTATCTCTGAACTCTTTTGAAATGTCTGTCATGCAGGGAGCATCCCGGGGATGTTTGCTTTGCTCAGAAACCTGCTTTTGGAAGATTACATTGCTGGGGCTCCACCAGTTCTCCATGAAGGCGGATTACCAGTGCTTGTACTGACTGAAAGAAAGTAAGCTTTTCTATCACTGAGGAAGGAAAAATTCCTACTCTGTTAGAAGCTTGCATAACCCTGTATTGTGGACAATCCGTTGGCTGCGTTCTCTATTCAGAGACTCATTTTCTGCATGCTCATGTTTGAGGCCCCATTGACTAACACTGCAAAACATGTTGACGCCAAAGCTTGAATGAAGCTTTGTGAGGCCGTTATTGAGAAACAGATCCCAGCCTATTTCTAGGACTCATCTTCTGTTAACGTCATGTCTCCGTAGAGTAAGGGGGAAATCCATGGAATCGATGTCAACCTTCCGATAGGCTCATTCTTCGGGAGCTTGAGCTCAGCTGCGGGTTTGGAATTGCCCATTTTGTGCCACCCTTCTTCACCTTACAGCATGCCTCCCTCCTGAAAGTATACATCGTGTATTACCTCTTTCCTATACTTTCTTTCCTCTTTGCTACCTTTGCTACCTGAGTTTCATCCTACTGATGGTATTTACACCCCAGATTGCTATTTTATGCCTTTTGTTGCTGTTTCCAAAGCAGATTTTACAAGTAGCTGTTCTGAGTATTTTTATGCTCTAAAAGTGAGTACAGTCAACAGATGCCAAGAGGTAATAAATAAAACAGAAGTGCTATCTTACTTGCCTCAGCTTGAAAGGGGACTGCTGTAGCGAAGGGCAGTGATGAAATCTGCATTTGCAACCCCCTGAAGATACAGGTCAACAAAGTGGAGAGCCTGTGGAGAGCTGCCTGTGAGGGCTACAGCAAACATGGAGGTTTCAAACCAAAACCTGAAAGGCAGTGTTACGATCACACACAGTGCTGAGTGCCTGCTGTTGTACACAAGCCTGAGGGCCTTGAACATCAGAGAGGAGGAGTTTAACATCTGGTATCCATGTGAAAGTGAAAAATCTGGTATGTGATGAAGGTCACAGTGACCTGGGATGCTACGCTGATACGGCTGTGAAACAGCATTGACTGCTTTTTACTTTGTGAACAAATTTTCCAGTATTGGGAAAAATAACAATGAGAAGAAATGTGTCATGTTTCTCTCAGGCCATGCAACAGCTTTCACTTTAGCTGGACTGGATGTGTGGAACTGAGAAAGCATGATCCATCCTTTCATCTCGGCTATCCACCCACGTCTGGGAGAGGAGACTGAATTTACCTCTGCACGTTTTGTTCCTTGGGAGAGATGGAAGATCACTGTGACACCTGTCTTATAGTCTTTATTGTATGTTCTCGTGAGTCCTTGAAAGGGTAGAATTGCTTTTGTGGTAAATGTCCTGATGGTCTCCCTCCCTTTTTCAAATTCTTCTTCTTCTTCTTCTTCTTTTTTTTTTTTTTGAATGCTCAGCATTCAAACCTGTTCTCAAGACCAGTGTTAATAGACATTAATATGAAATCTGCCTTATATGCTGATAGGTTTTTTAATCACTGAATAGATAGAAGACTAGATATGCTCCATGCAGGAAACCAGCTTGGTACTTTACTCTGTATTAGTAGTTATATTCTTTGCACTCACCACAACTGCACTTGATTCAATGGGAATTCTCGGTATGCATCTGAGGTACCCAGAGGGAATGCTTTTATCTAAAAGTTGTTGTCTTTACCATTTCTTGATGTACAAAAACTAAAGCTGAGTCAAGGTTTAGTAAAACTAAGCAACCGTCCCCTTGACTTCAGCGTCTGTGATTTTCCCTAGTTAAATTCTTGGGTTTTTTTAACCTCTCAAATTCTTCCAGGTGTGATGGACCTTGAGAAGTGTTGCATCTCTGTGCCAGTGCAACTGAAGTCTTGGGGTCTGTGATCCTTACTCTGTTCGTTTCACGAGAGTGTCCTAGTCCCCTGTTCTTCTTGATTTCTAATTTTTTTTAAAAAACAAAGCAAAATGAACTAACTGATCTAGGATTTACTAAGATAAGTTTCCAGTGAGCCAGCAGAACTGAAAAGCAGAAAGAATGAGAATTGTTGGATGAATGAGCTGTGACAGTAGAAAGTAGGTGGTGGGTAGGTACTTTTTGTGAGGAAGGCAGCCAAGTCCCAGCAAGACTAAATGCAACCTAAGAAAATGTTTCCTGGCAGGAGGGAATGCATGTTTTCACATTTGAACTTCAGTTATGTATAACTGGATAGCTAGACATTTGCCAATGTATTTATAGACTTCCCCCCTTAGTTGTGCAAGCATCTCTTAACTTTTCCCAGAGATTTTCTCAGATTTGTCATCTGTAATCACGTGAGGATTTAAGTCAAGAAACCTGAATGTTTTGAGTGCTTCTGTCCCTTTTATTTCATGCACTTCTTAATTACTGGCATATGCTGAATCATGAAGTATCTTAAAATGAACAAAAAAAAAAAAGAGATTGAAGAGAGATTTTCATGCTCTATGTGTAAGAGCCTTTTTAAAAACTCTAAATATTCATGGATATCCCTTTATCTGCAATTTGTTTTTCAGAAACCTTCTTTTATGTATATCAGAGTGTTAATTCTGGGCAGGTTAGAGTCAGAAGCATTTCAGAGAGATGATGAATGGTCCTTCATAAGGCACCTTTCCATAGCTAGAAGCGTAAACACTGTCCATTCACTGAAGAAACAGGAACGTGTGTTTGGGTTTGTCCATGAATTTATTCTAAAGTTTCTCTCTAAATCTGTGCCAACTGCCAGCTTAAATTATTTGAGATTAGAAAAGCAACACTAAATATTAATAGTGTGAATCCTAAATCCTAATCAGCAGTTAGTGCCATGGTTCCTTAGTACCACAGACATGTCTGTAAATCTTGTTTTTCTTCTACTCTATAGCAAATGTAGTTTAAAAAAATCTGGAAATAATCATTGATTTCTTTTTTAACCCATTTACAGAAAATACTGCTAATCAAATATAGAGGTTTGTGATTTACTTTTTAATGGCATCCAGAATTTGGAAAGTTGCTAACAGTTTATAAATCCCAGTTAGAATAAAACGTGCCAAACAGTTAATTGCACACAGTGCAACTAGCATTTGACACTGAGAGCAAAGAAAGCTTTTCATTTATTTTGTTCATAATGATAGCGTATCCAACAAATAATTTGGTTTAAAAAAAAAATCTAGTTAAACATACCTACTTTCTCTGTGCCACGTAAAAGGAAATATGTAAGCTAACATGATATATTTGTTTCATTTTATTTTATGGAAGTATATACTGATAAAATAATTTTGTAAAAGTTCGCAATTATAGGAAGAGAGACTTGAAGATGTGGGGACTTCAGAGTCAGATTATGGTATTGGTCACCGAAAATTTTTTATTTTTTTAAAATATAATTTCTTGTTATTGCTATCATAAGGGTTACTGGTTTCCACTCTACCAGTCACTCATAGCTTACTGCAATTCAGTTTATGGGTTGAAAAGAAATGACTACACCAAAACTCCAAGGCTCCTATGATTGATGCCTTATAGTAAATGCTAAACTTCAGATTTAGTAAGTATCAGCTGTTATTACAGAGATCACTGGGATTTTGTGTCGCCTATCATCTCTGAGGAAGAGAAACCAGTTTGCCTTCCAGGTCTGTGCTGTGGGCTGGGAGGGGCATTGCAATTCTCCCGACATGACTTCGGGAAGCCTGTGGCCACCAGCAGGGGTGGGAGCGCGAGGGCAGATGCCCCCTCCGCTGTGAGGTGCTTCTAGTCACCATATTTGCTTCATGGTGAGTTTTGCTCTTCTGGGTGCAGGGAAAGCCTGAGAAATCTGCAGTTTCCTGATATGGGGATCTGTTATAAAAATTAAATCAAACCTGAGTTAAAGCAAACTCCCAAACTAAATGCTGAAGGTTGAGAGAAGGTTGGTTCATGAGTCTTGTATCCTTACGTTTGCATGTTTTCACCAGCAAAGACTATAAAATAACGAAGCAGAGCTGTAGCATTTTATCAAGCTTTTCACAGTTACTAACTGTGAAGAGCGTTACTTCCTTTTGGTCTGCAGATGGTAACGTGGTATATTGTGGATGGCACTGAGAAAATTGCCACCTTCCTCTAGAAACAGCTTGCATGAAAATATGAACTTGTCATCCGTTTATGTAGTATGAAAAGCAAGCAAGAGCGACGGCAAGCGGCACTGCACCTAGCGCCACGTGCGAGTTGCTCAGGTGCCAGGCCAGCCACACGGTAATGCTGTTGCACTGGCAAACACGGCAGCTACTACCTCTCTGAGCAGTGATCTACAAATGCCTTACAATGCCATATCCTCACATGATGCGTAATTTGTAGATATTATTAGATTCATTTCACAAGCGGGTGAAATAAGGCACAGAAAAGTAGCATTCAACAAAGTTCATAAACTTCGTATTATAAATAGGCCTGCCGGTGAGGCGGCACTTGGCTCGTGTCAGGCTGCCGTGCCCTACGCTGGGAATTAGCACCTGACCTGCTTGCTGCTTTTGCACTTGCTCTTGTCTTCCAACGCGCTCGCGAGCTTCGCCGTGAATACTGAGGAGCACAGCATTTGCAAGCAACAGGCACCATTCCTGATCTGACATTCGCTTTGGATGAGGCAACGTCATTAACTTTAATGGGCTTGACTTTGGGGAGCTTTGTATCAGGTCTTCAGCGAGGTTCGTGTTTCACTGTGGGACCAAATATCAGTGAGTACATTTTAGAATGGCAGGTCTTTAAAAGCAAAAACAAATTAAGCGCACAAACCTCACTTCTCACTGTGTCTTCCTCTCTGTTGGCAAACCCAACCCTTGATCTCTAATTTTAGTTAATTGAAATAATTTATGTGAGCTAAAAATACTGATAAAAATATTGATTATGTTTGCTGTCCTTTCCCAGCTGCAGTGTCTGGAAGGTCTAAACCATAACTTGGCCAATATTTGTAAGGCAGAACTTTTCTCCCTCACCCCTTTTTTCCCCCCCAGGGGTAAATTCCCAACCATTACTTCTATTAAAGCTTCTATTAAACCTCCACATGCAGGAAGAAAAAACCCCAATCCTATGTATCTCTCTGTTCTCATTTCTACTTTCTTTCAATTGTATTGATTTTTCAGGTTATTATTTCCAAGGAGGAGCATGCTCAAAAACTCTTTAGAGTCATACTATCAGAAAATGTTTATCAAATGTGTTCAGCTTCCCATAGGAGCTAGCCCTTTAATGGCTGTATCTTGTATCTTTAATCTTACTAACTCACTAAAAGGAAAAAGAAAGATGTATGCAGCATCAGGACTGTGGATTACACCGGTAATGAAGGATTAGGCTTATATTTTCCACGTCAGCCTGCAGAGTCATCTGAGTCTCTAAGGACTTTTCATGTTGTCCTCATAATGGATTCTTTGTTCCATTTTCTGTCCATCCTCAAATTTATATTTGGAGAAAGAGTGCTCATTATGCTATCTCTCAAGCCACATCATGAAGAATTCCTACTGCGCAAGATGCCTTGAGTTACAATTTTTGCATCCTTTGGTGATGGAGGTTGCTGCACGAAAGGCTCTCTAGGAGACAAGGACCTTGAGGGGAAAAAAATCTGGCATTGCCAGCAATGTTGTGACCTTTTCATCATTTGAGTGCCTGGCCATTCCACTGCTTTATGAGTCTGAATGGTTTCCAAACAGATCTGGAAGGTGGGAGCAACAGCATGAGAATTATTCTTAACTTTTATAGCCTAGGTTGGGAGTGACGCAAAGAGGGTGAGGGGGGACAGGCAACAGGCAATAGCTGAAAGTGTAAGAAACTTGGAAGTGACATTTCAGGGAAAATTCTTTAAGTTTTGGAAAAAAAATTGGTCTGGAAAGGAAGAAGGAAACCTCAAACAAGAAATAGCTAGTAAATTTAACTCCAAAAAATAACTTGCTTCAAATTAAACAAAGTATTTTTGCCATTTTTACAGTGCTGCGTTACACAACATAAAATACAAATTGAAGCAAAAGCCATTTTGAAATGCAATATTAAAAGACACCCATTTTATGGGGCTTTCTTTTTTTTAAAGATAAAAATATGCTTTCTACAGGGTACAGACTGAGAAAGCTGACTTATGGCACCGGTACACAAGCAGCATGTGTTTTTCACATGGTTATTCCCCAGTGTCTTCCTACCCCTCCTCTTCATCTTTTCGAGAAGGCACAGGGAATCCTTCCAGACCTTTTAAAATGAAACCATTTTTCAGCATCAGGGGCTAACAGATGGGGAAAAGTTGTGGTCATCAGCTAGCCAAAGTACACACAGTTGCAAAGAGTTTTCAGCAGTAACTATGCATGATTATGCAATTAAGTCATTTTTCAGTGAGATTTCAGGGGACTGCATAAACACATGGATGTACCTGGTCAATCTTCCTGTGCACGTGTTGGGTGCTGAGGTTCATCTTGGTATCTTCACACAGAGTTTCACCTACATGAAGAGCAGGAGGCTGTGGAGCAAATAAGAGAAGAGCCACTGTTCCCCCCGGGTACCTGCAGAGGAGCCGATCTGCCTGCAGGTCCATTGACTCCCGGATGTGAGCTGCACGGCATCAGTGCCTCTGGACGCTTGACACTTCTTCATACGGAGGTGAGTGATGAGCCACAACACTGGCAGCAGGAAACAGGACAAGCTTTAGGTCTTCTCCAGGATCAAGCACCTTCATATCTGTTCCCTGGGTTCTCATGGGTGCAGAGAAGGGATTTCTCCTTGTACTGAGCCAAATTTCATTCACCCAGCTTTCCTGGCTGTTTCCTCTTCACTCTGTGGAAGTCCTGCATAAAGAGGTGTGGGTTAAACCTGACACGTTGTCAGGAATGCTTCACGTTCCAAATTTATGGAGCTGAACGGGGGAGCAAATGGCCAACATGCTGTTCGGGAAAGTGTTTGTGACAGGGAGCTGAGGAAGATTTGAAAGAAATATTCTCCAAAGATAGCCAAAACACCCAGAGACTTGCTCTGAGTTATGCTTCAGCCTACCAGTTAATATGCTTGTGCTGCCCGCTCGTTAATTGGTAGGGAAGGGGGAGGAAGAATCCAGACTTGGCAAGCTGGTGCTGCAGACAGATTTTGTCAGATGAAATCCTAATAGACATTAGTCCAACATCAACAGCTCCTGAGCTGTCATATGGGAATATGCAAGAAAAAGATAAAACCAACAACCTAAAGGATGGATCCTCTATTTTAAGGGGCAGAGAAGGGAACCTGACTAATGGAATTTTTTCTTTTATTTGTAGAGTTGTGCAGAGAAACAATGGAAAATGTTGGTTCCAGCGGATACAGTTCTGTCTTTTCTTGAATTCTGAACCTCATTTAGTTCAGAGTTGCTTAACATCTCTCTCTCTTGCCTTTACTTACTTGTGAACAGGGGTTTATCTTATCTGCCAAAGCCTCAGAGGAGTTGTGAGGGCAGAATTTGGAAAAGAATTTGCTATCTCTGCAAAAAATCCACAAGTGACCGTGGAAAAAAATCCCAGACCTACCATAGCAAAACTCCAGCACAAGTCGAGTATTTTCTGGAAGTGAAGCGTCCTGTTACATAAACATCCTTGAAGCTTTGCAGAAGGGGTGACGTTCACATCACATATGTGGGGCCTGACTAATTGGGCTTTGTGTGAGAGGAGTGGGGATGGGGAGGACAAGGAAGTGAAATCCCCAAGGTGCAAGCAGGGCCTCTTCTTCCCATGGCCTGTACTGCCGCTTACATGTTGCAAAGGGGTCTCAGAGCCCCTGGTACAGCAGTGCTGATCACTGGGAACTCTGCGGGCACTGCTCCTGAGCCTCTGCCCTCCAAACCAGTCCGCAAAGCCTCTAGGTGTCCTGCTTGGCCTCCAGCAGTGGCTCAGTCGTGCCCTTCAGAGAGCATGCCTCTGCCCAAAGGTGGTTATCATCTCATCATAGTAAAATCAGCATTAACTTAGTGGTCTATCTTTGCATAAAGGGGCGCAGACCATGTAACTTCTGGCTTCTTCTGCAAGTGGGAGAAGGGGCTCCTGATTTCAGGAGCCTCTCTGGAGGAGTCTGCATCTTTCCGCTGACTACCTGAGGAACCTAAATCCCGTAGTTGTTTCTCTGATGCCTGAAGTTAGATGGCACAAACACCCTTCCATGCAGAGCTCATTCAAGACCCAGGGCTCAAACCTCCACTGCCCTGCACCTTATGCAAAGCAGTGCTGCAGCATGAGTCAAAAGCCACCACTTCATTTTGCACACGCTAGGAGGCTTTGTCACCAGTCCCAGGCAAAGCAAATACCCTTTCCTCCCCCATCTCTCCAGGGAAAACTATGTATAGCAGGCATGTAAGTAAGTAATAAAGTAGTGCCAACTATAAAATCCTCACATATATGTTTCTGTATTTTATGGCAAACACACATTAATGATTTGCAGACTCTTTCTGCACAGCAGCTCTCAGGGTAACAGCTCAGATTTAGCAATTGGGATGGCAGTGAAAGAAACAGATTTATAAGCTGAAAGAGCCAGTGCTGAACTGGTTAGGAAAGAGTAAATGTGAATTCCCGACTCTTTTTCTTTTCACAGCTGTTAAGAGTTCAGTGGGCTGAACTGCAATCCTTCAAGTTCATCTGTTGACTCCAACACAAAACTATTATAAACTGTGCCTCTAAAACACGTGATGATACATTTCTTGAGAGCTATTTATTCCAGCTGCAGCAGAGGAAAGTTTTCAGAACACCCGGCATTTCGTAGAGGAAAGGTCTCTTGAGCTTTGCAGAGGGAGGAATTATTTGCATACCAACGTAAGTCGCTTTTTGATATTTTTTTTGCCCTGTACTGTTCAGTAAAATAACACTTCTAAATTTTTTCCCTGATGGAAACATCGTCAAGTAGGACAAAACTCAGTTTAAGTGCCTAGCAGACTATTTCTATATAGTTTTCTTTCTTCTTTACTCATGAGGATTGAGAGTTTTATACTTAGAATAGCATTTGTCATGATTTAATATTAAGTTTTTTTCTTGTCCTCTAATGTTCTCTGTATCTGAATTACATTTCGTTCAGTTACCATAGTAATGCACAGGTATGACAGACTGTGCAGACTTCAATTAGCTGTGTCCTGCAAGCTTACAAATTACACACAACAAAGAATAGCTTGGGGCTTTTAAAAATGGGTATTTTCTGGGGATGTTTCTTTTAAATATTTGCTCCAAAGTTTGATATCTTACATATACGTATGAATTTTCCTCCAGGCTTTAACTGCGGTAAAGCAGTTTCAATGCTCAAGATGGACAGTGCAAACATGACCCAAACCATGCTTAATGCTGAATCCCGCAACATGGAGAACAACAGCAACGAGTATTTTTACATCCTGATCGTTATGTCTTTCTATGGGATCTTCCTGATAGGGATAATGTTGGGCTACATGAAATCCAAAAAAAAAGAAAAGAAGTCCAACTTGCTTCTGCTCTACAAAGATGAGGAGAAAGAATGGGGGGAAGCTGTGAAGCCTCTACCAACCATATCGGGGCTGAAATCTGTCCAGATCCCCATGATGCTGAACATGCTGCAGGAGAGCATGGTGCCTTCTCTGTCCTGCGCCATCTGCTCAATGGAAGGCAGCAGTGTGAGCTCTGAATCGTCTTCCCCAGATGTGCACTTCACCATTCAGGAGGAAGTGCTGGATGCTGAACTGGGGGAAGTGTCAGAAACGCTTCTCAACGAGAGCAGCGAGGGGTCTGCAGAAAACATCCACAAGAACTCCTAGCAGCAGCAGGGGCTGTTGAATCAGCTACCAGAAGCATGAGTGGAGCTCCCACGACGAACTTGTGGTTCTGCTTTCCTGCTCTCCAATGAACTCTCAGCTGGTACCTGTGCCCTGAGCCCGACGTGTTCCTGAGAGCTGGCAGGACAGGGAAGAGGTGTCACCAAAATCCAAAACGTAACTTTGCACCTGATTGGGATGCTTAATTTTTTACATTACTCTTTCTTACCGTAAGAGCTAAGAACAAGGAGAATATGTATATTTTTTTCTAATGAGGTAACTATTACTGCCACTGTCTCTGCGTATTTCAGAATTCTGTAAATATCTGGGAAATGTTCAGAGAAGTTACAAGTGCCTAGTTGTTAAAGACAATGGGTAATGCTCATTCACACAAAACTGTGATAGACTAGAGGTACTTCTACCATATTTTTCTTATTAAAAAAACCACAGACAACAGCAGATTTGCTCAGTGAGGCCTCAAAGGCTGAAGCTTGGTCTATGCTGTGGTTGAAGGAAGATTGCAGCACAGCTGGAAACTGACCTCGCCTGAATTTAGGTACAAGAAAAACAATGAAAGAAAAAGGAAAAAAAAACCCTAAAAAGCAAAAAACAAAAAAACAAAAAAACAGAGAGCGGAGGACACCCCCGGTTTCCAGGAGGTTTGTAAAGTCTGAGTTCAGACTCATGCCACTGTGTCTTTGCTCTGGTTGTACCTGTGGTGGCTGGGTCAGGCATACCTACTTCTGCTGCAATCCAGTCTTTGACTGAGTCACTAGTAGGAAAAGTGGTTTTCTTTTTTGCTTTTGTGTTTTTTTAAGATGTGTTTATTTGCTCACTAAAGGCAAAGATCTATAAGGAAAAAAAGAAATAAAAAGATCTTTGTTACAAGGTGTAAGAACTAGAAACTATTATTGAACAAATGCTGCTCTGTTACTCTCTCTTGAAAAATGGGTGGAATTCAGAATAGAATTTAATTTAGCAAGGGTGAAATCCTGGCCCCATTGAAGCCAATAGCTAAGTCCTACTGACTTCAGGGCACGTGCACAAGGTTTTCTGCTTCTCTGTTGGAGTCAAATTCTCCTCTGGAGGTCAGTTAAATTGTACACATTTACATTACTAAAGAATCTGGTCTTTCTGCTCTATTTAAGCCAGTGTTGATAATTGTAGCATTACTTTTTTTTTTTAATCAGCCTGCATGTAACACGTGCATTTCTATAAAGTCATAAGTAACTGCTTTTTAAAACCACCACAAACTTTTCCCCTACTTTAATGGTACTGTGTTTTTTTTTCAAATGCTTGTGACCTTAGTTACTAAATTATTGCACTGTTAAAGGAATTAATGTTAATATTTTAGCAAGGTATGATTATTTCAATCATACATTATATTTTGTAATAACTTATTGCAATGTTTGGATGAATTCTGAAGCATGAGGGCTAAAGAGCCTGAATCTAAAGCATTGCACAGGAAAATGCTTGCAAAATGTCTCCACATATTTCCTGTGTTAAAATAGCTCTGTGATTTATCCACTGGCATTAGAGCCTGAGAGACAGCTTGAAAAATATGAACACTGAACAGCAGAAATGAACCGAGGCAAGAGTCTGCTGTACTTCTGCGATTTAGAAGCGAGAACTCGTTTTTTTGGCTTGAGGGGTTAATGTAATGTCGTGTAGCTTGCAGAGGTATCACTGCATCTTTCTAACACAGCAGAACAAAAGCTCCATTGTGTTCATAAAGGGCCTGATCCAGTTCATATCAAAGGCAGTGGGAG